TTAGTTTAACAATTGTTTGTATAATATATATATATATATATGTCACTGGTGGGACACTAGATGAATGGATGGATAGACAGACAGACAGACAGACTGACAGACAGACAGTCAGACTGACAGACTGACTGACTTGATTGAGTACTTTTTTATTAACACATTTAGTACAAATATTGTCTTTATTTTGTTTTGTACAATATTTTTATTATTTCAGACATTAATCTGTATTTTTGGGTTAGCATGTTAGGGTGTTTTAGTAAATATTCTAGAGATGTACAAACACATTTAGCAAAAACTAAACAATGTGACACATTTATATTATGATTTAGCTCACTAAAATATACTTAAACCAAAACCAACATTATGCCAAACTAAAAACAAAAAGCCAAACCACTAGATGATGATGATAAAGGATTCAGAACTACAGTAAGCCTGTGTTTTCAGTGATTGTGTGTATATCTGAAAATCATTATCTGATTACCACAAAGAAATCCAAACTTGTTGAAGGATTATCAACTCCAGCCAGTCCACACTTTTGTTGTACTGTTGTATAACTATAGTTAGAATGAGTCACACAAAAAGCCACATTAAAGAACCACAGCAGCACTTCCTGTTTGTGGACTGCGTTTCCTGTCAGCGCAGGTGCAGTTACTCAGTCAAAATCTGTGCAAAACGCCAGAAGGATGTGACCTAAACACCTTTTTATGGTCAAGCGAGACATGATCCGCTATAAATATGGAGGTATGATCTCAGGCTCAGATGGCAAGTGTGTTTTCTTTCACACAGAGAACTAAAATAACGTGTGCGCACACCCAGACACACCCACCACATCAAACACACAACTGCGTGCTGGAGAAGTGTCTGTGGTGTCGGTAAGCCGATATCATCTGTTCTGGCCCAGAAAACATGTTGACTTGAGGAGAACAGAAGCTGCACTGACAAAGTTTGGCCAGAAGAGAGCGGAGATGCACTGTAAAGACAGCCATATAAACAAAGGCAGAAGGACGAGAGTTTCTATTAAGCGTTTAAATCATTTACGTGTTCGTTTGATGTTTCAGTCATTCAGCTCTTTACATGATTAGGCATGGGCCGGTATAAGATTCTGACGGTATGATAACCTTGGATAAAAACATCACGGTTTCACGTTATTGTGCTTACTGCTCTAAAATATATTCTTTTTTAAATGTCTGGGTAAAAAACTAAAACTTTTTTCATTTTGAACACAATATATTTTAATTTGAGAAACATTTAAATATTTTGGTAGAGTAAATATGTCAGGCTAAATTAATTATTGACTTCTGCTGTCTTCATTGTTTCAAAAACATATTTTTACAGTTTAAATCGGCATCTTTGGATATGTTTTCTGCTGAGGATACTGCTGTCCTAAAAAAATAATAGTAATAAAATAAAAATAAAATAAAAACTGCCAAAAAATAAATAAATAAAAAAAATCGTACATATACCTTAGGGAGGGTATTGCAGAAAATTTGGACAATTTTAAAACCTTGACTTTTCCAAACCGTGGTATGCCTTGAAAGCGGTTATCGTCCCATACCTATGACTGCAATTGTATTGTTTATGTTCACTAAAGAGTTTAAATATACAGATATACCAAAGAAAGAAGCACTTATATTGAGATTATTTTATGTAAGTACAGAAAGCCAATAATTATGTTCATTTGATGGTCAAGAAGTACTTCGTCAAAAATATAAATGTCTTTAAATTTAATGTCATACAATAATTATGAATATTATCATTGTAATAACAAATGTAATAAAGATAATATAGTAAAGCAAATCTTGGACAATCTGTGAAATTAGAACATAAAATTTAATATCCAATAACAATGAAAGTGACAAAATATTTAAGAGATTAAATTATACACTATTTTGTAAAAGAAAAATAAAATAAAATAAAAAAAATCAAAGCCAACACAAAACACTAAATAATAATACCAGTATATAATTTTAATAACCAATAACAAACTTTTCATATTTTTAATAATAATAAAATTATAATAATTACTACATTATTATAATTATGATTATTAACATTATTATTACAATTATTATACATTTTACTGATATTATACCTATAGGTTATATAATATTTAAAGTACAATTCTACCCTGTTTTGTCAATAAAATGTATATTAAAATCATAGGTTTACCTTTGAAGTATTATTTTATACAACAACAAAATAAAATATTAATGATAATAATAATTATTATTATTACTTGTATTACGCCCTAGTCATGTGTTTAAAAAAAACACGACAGTGAGTATATTATCATCATCATTATTGTTATCATCATCATCCTCACTACCACCATCAATTAAATAATATTAAAAGTACATTTCAACAGTCTTTTTGTCAAAAAAGTTATATTAAATCATAGGGTTACCTTTGAAGTATTATTTTATATAATAATAATAATAATAATAATAATAATAATAATAATAATAATAATAATAATAATAATAATAATGACAAAACTTATACTAATACTACTAAAAATAATAATAATAATAATAATAATAATAATAATAAAACTTATACTAATAATAATAATAATAATAATAATATTTATTATTATTGCTTGTATTACGTCCAAGCTATTTGTTTAAAAACATGACAGTGAGTATTATAATTATCATCATTAACAATTCTACAGTGTTTTGTAAAAAAAAAATTGATACAAAATTAAACAACTGCAATATTATTAAATCATAAGACTACATTTGAATTAATCTTAATGTAAAAATCAGAGAACATACAAAAATATAACGATCAACAACAAATATGATTATATAAAAAAACTGGTAATACTATCAGAATACTATCAGGTTGATAATAAATCTGCTACTAATGCGCATTTCTACTGCTAAATCATCATTTTGAATCAGTTCACCTGATGACCTCTAAGGAATCCATCAAAAACTATCAAGTGTGCTAATTAAAACTGTGAGAACTACACTGTTAATGGTTGCTGAAGGTATTAACAAATTAGCCCAGGTTAAATGAACACAAACACTAAAGGAGAAGAATGTGTGGAATTTAAAGTATGGCCGAGTTTGAATTTAGATGAAACTTACAGAGCATTTCCAGATTCCAAACAGGTGAAGTGACTCACAGAGAACACAGAGTATCATTCAGGGCCCGTTTACACCTGCTATTAAGGAAACACACTACTTTTTTTTTAGAAATAGACTAATTTTAAGTCCCCTAGAGTCTTGTCTCATTCATTCATTCATTCATTCATTCATTCATTCATTTATACAGGGACAATGTTGTGACAGAGTTAGCCTTCAAGCTAATTTACATCTGTAGTCCTGGGGCAGAATGTTGTAACAAAATTAACAATTAAATTCAATTAAATTTAAAAACTACTTTAGTGGGTAGCACGTTAGCCTCACAGCAAGAGGGTCGCTAATTCGAACCTCGGCTGGGTCAGTTGACATTTCTATTTGAAGTTTGCATGTTCTCCCCGTGTTCGTGTGGGTTTCCTCCAGGTGCTCCTGTTTCCCCAACAGTCCAAAGGCATGCGGTACAGATGAATTGGGTAGGCTAAATTGTCTGTAGTGTATGAGTGTGAATGAGTATGCATGGATGTTTCGCGGTTATGGGTTGCAGCTGGAAGGGTATCCACTGCATAAAACATATGCGGGATGAGTTGGCGGTTCATTCCGCTGTGGCGACCCCAGATTAATAAAGGGACTAAAGACTAAGGACACAGCTAAACCTCACACCTGCTCTCTAAAATGAAATCTGACAACTGTCTTTTATTTATATTCAGGTTGTAAGCATGTGTTAGTAATATGAAACGTTATCATATCTTTTGCAAGCTCGTTATTTGAGATGTAGAACGCAGGGAAAGCATCCTCATAGAGAGACACTGCAGCGCTGCTGAAGATTGTGGGTGTTTACAGCGATTTGATGGATAAATATGAACTTGCTGCTAAATTGTTAGCGGTGCCAAACAGCATTTCCCATTGTTTACATCCTTGGTTACATCCTTACTACAAGATACAGTTAACGCTAGAAACTGTGCATGTAATAGATCAATTTTAACAAATAAAAAAACTTACCAGTTGCAGCTCACAATCCACAGCATCTATTATGGTTGGAGCTGCTCCTCCTTTGAGGAGTTTTTAGCTGAATCCAGCACTGAACCGGGAGAAATTCTGCAAGCTGTCCTTTGTCAAATGTTGGAGCTATATGTATTTTAATAAATCTCTGGAACATAACTAAAATTAAACTGCAATCACTTCTCTGTGTGTGTTGTTTCCTTTGGAAGCCCAAACACAGAAATACAAGAAGCTCTATGGAAAAACCAGTGTTTTGACGGCATTTTAGCCTTCTCTTCTATAACATTACAGCACCTCTGCTCACGCCCCTTCACTGCATGGGTTGTATGCATGAATCCTGAAGCGTTTGTGATCTCAGTAACCCGGATGCATTTTTTGTAGTCCCCAAACATCATTCGCTGTATGCTAAGCTAACTCTTTAAAAGCCAATGTCTTCCTTTGCATTGAACTTCAAATCAGAGATGTTGTTCGTGTTCACACAGCTACATTACACATAAGCTAAAGTTTAAACGCAGGTATTGAAGAAACAGTTTTCTTACCGTCTGCTGTCAGTTTTTAAGAAAATCTGTGTCTAAACGCTAAAGGGGACACAGCCTAAAGGTTTGAAAAAGGATGCAGGATGTAAGAATCAGCTAGACTGATACTTTCATTTGAAATAAACACGCATTTGTTTACGGATTTCTCAACTGTCCTCCTGAATACGCACGACTAACAATTTCGAATGTGTTTCTGTGTATAAGACGTCCTCAAATTAGGTCATGGTCATTAGGAGACAACGGTCATCTGATACCTGTAACTAAAATATATACTACTACAGCAGCACACACTGAACACCACTGCCTGTTTTAGAAGAGAATGTTGGAGTGTGTCTGTCTGTCTGTGTGGTATGTGTGTGTGTCTGAATGCATGGCTCACTCTGTCTTTGTCATCGGCCACATCACACAGCACATCATCCAGGTCCAAGATTCCTCCATCACCGTGTTCCAGCCGGTAAACCTGAACCCAGTACTCCTCACCCTGTCACACACACACAGAAAGAGAAAACAGTCAATTTATGTCTGACTTGAGCTGAAATCAAAGTATTTCTATACTAGTAGGGTCTTAACCCACATACACACACACAAGATCACACAAACACAAGCATACACACAGAATCAGGACACTCTAATCAATGAAGAAGAGCGCACACACACATATAATGAGGGTTTAACTAATCAGGATAATGCACCTGAATCTAGACCATCATCTAGACACAACACACTCTCACACACACACTCTCACACACACACACTCACACACACTCTCTCTCTCTCTCACACACACACACACACACACACACACACACACACACACACACACACACACTCCCATGCACGCACGCACACCTGGTTTACAATGGTTGTGGAGCCTTCTCATAAACAGTGATATTTATATTGCACGAACTGCATATTCTGTCCTCTTAGACCAACCCTACTTTTTTTTTCCTTTTTCTAAATAATTCATCATGTATTTTTGAACCTTAATTTAGTCCCCACAAGTCTGTGTACATTCAGGTTTAACTCCCCACTGGGATATAAAAACAAGAACACACACACACACAGCTGATCAGTGCATAGAGACAACACAAAACAACTGAGACTCAAAGTCACAGAGACCATGAACTAAAACATCTGTCACTCAAAACCATGCTTTGCAGTCGGGCCGATAATAAAAGTAAAGTTATTAACAAATGTGTGTGATGTCTTCATTAAGGAGAAAAACCCTTTATTAGCCCATTATTCACTCTTTCAGGGACGCAGTAGTGCTGTCGCCTCACAGCAAGAAGCTTGCTGGTTCAAACCTCGGCTCAGTTGGGTTTTCTGTGTGGAGTTTGCATGTTCTCCCTGCATTCGCGTGGGTTTCCTCCGGGTGCTCCGGTTTCCCCCACAGTCTAAAGACATGCGGTACAGGTGAATTGGGTATGTGAATGAGTGTGTCGATGTTTCCCAGAGAGGCTGGAAGGACATCTGCTGCGTAAAAACGTGCGTAAAAACGTGCTGGATAAGTTCCGCTGTGGCGACCCCGAATTAATAAAGGGACTAAGCCGACAAGAAAATGAATGAATGAATAAATGTTTACTCTTACTTTGTATAGTGAAATCCAATCAAAGTCATTTTAAAAAGCTCTGCAACGGCAACAGGCTGGTGTATCTTTTCAACAGTCCAAACATTTCAACCTCGAATGCTTCAATAGTGAATAAATCTTGTGCCAGTGATTTTTTTAGTAAACTAACCATATAATAGCAGTTAATGCTAACATTCAGAATAATAATAACATTAGATAGTGTACTTGATATTTGCTATTATTATATTTATAGTAATTATTATTATTATTATTATTATTATTATCAATATTATACTAATAGGTCCTCATTAAAAATATTAATAATTCAAAATAATTATAACGATATTAAAATTACTAATAATAATAATAATAATAATAATACAGGGGAGTTCATTTAATGTTACATATTTGTTGTATATTAAACCTTATTTTGTGTATTTTTATTATCATTACTATTGATAATAATGAGCACGCTGTTTAAAATATAATAAAAATGTCATGTTTATTAATTATATTTTTATTATCATCAAATTAATAATAATGATGCTAATAATAAAAATAATAATAATAATAATAATAATAATAATAATAATTGTATTAATTATTATGACTGCTGCAGAATTATCAGAACTATCAACAATTCAAAATCATTGACAATAAGAATACAAATACATATAATAATAATAATAATAATAATAATAATAATAATAATATTAAAAGAGGTGCAACTACTGAATATGTGTTTCTTAATTGTATATTGTTATTATTATTATAATTATTATTATTATTAATAAACATTTATATTATAATATGTGATTTAATATACATATAACATATCAATTAATAAATGTATTATTCATTTTAAATAGTTAAATATTATTATTTAATATAAAAAAATGAATATCATTTGTTATTAATAAATTAAATACATTATTGTTAATGTTATTTTGGTATCAATTAACTGAGATGACCTAAAAGTCTCAAAACTCTAAAATGTATGATGGTATCTCTTTGAAACTTTAATTAAATAAATGACAAAGAAAAGAGCAAATCTGTAGCACAAGCACTACGTTACATGCTAAAAGAGTTTCAAAAACCATCACGTCAATCTAATATATGCATTTATCAACCAATAAACCACAAATAAAACAAAATAACCTGTTTAAAACAGTCCATACACAATTACTTACTACTAGCAAATCTAAACTCAATTTACTATGACATCATCAGTGTTCTCCAGATTTTAGCCAATCAGTGTACCTGATGAGCCCGCCCCTTCTCCTCCCTCAGTCTTTTCTGCAAAGAGAAGTGATGCTTCCACATCTCCAGACATCACAAAAAACCCTTCTCATCTCCATCTCTTCATTCCTTTCTTCCTCCCAGCTTAGAAACGAATAACCCTAAACGAGGACGTGTTCGGTAACATGAGAAGTTCACTCTCGAAAAGACCCGTGATGTAAACTGAGAGGATTGTGCTGTCAAAGACAAGCGAGCGCATTTGATACAAGAGTGTCCATGTCTTATTGAGCAGCTGAGGAGAACAGACGTGAACACAGCAACTGGAGATTCAACTTTACAGTGTGGTGTTTATTAATGCTGTGGTAATGCAATCCCTCGATTATGAAGCTAATAAAGCTATGTAAAATCTCTTGACAATAGAGGTTGATGATATGGACTTGAAACTAGGGCTGAACAACATGTCGTTGAGCTTTGATATTGCAATGTATCCTCAATAATCACATTGCAGTATTAAATAATTTATTGAATCGGAAAGATATTATTAATTGGTTTTATTAATTGGATATTGATAATATTATTTTTAAATAATTGAATAGAAGTGTTTATACAATAACCATGTTATTTTATTTGGATTGTTCAATTTCTAGATTTGAATACCGTTCAATTTATTCATTCATTCATTTTCTGCCGTTTTTCTAAGGCCGGGTCACGGGGGCAGCAGTCTTAGGAGAGAACTTCAGACTACCCTCTCCCCAGACACTTCCTCCAGCTCCTCCGGTGGGATTCATGTTAGTATTGTAAGTATTACTTTTTTGATAATTAGAAATAACAGAATGTTATATATATATATATATATATATATATATATATATATATATATATATATATATAGAAAGAGAGAGAGAGAGAGAGAGAGAGAGAGAGAGACAAAAATTGTTCATACCCCGAGAATTATAAATGTAATCGTATAATTTTTATATTATATTTTCATAAACAATGTTGTATTATTTAAATATGTATATTATTTTTAAATTATATTATTTTATAGAATAAAAAATTAAAATATAAATATTTTGCATAAATATATAAACACTTTCTATACATGTATACACATAAATAAAAGAATATATATATATATATATATATATATACACACACACACACATTAAAAACTAACTTATGTAAACACAAACTATTATTTTGTATGCCATTAATTATAACACCACACATTTATAGTAAAATGCTAATATTAAATCTAACTAATACTAAAGTAAATTTATAGACTGTACTGGCAGATTCAAGATTTGTAAGTTTTACCGTTATTATTCACTCATATTGTGGGGAGAACTTGTAATTATTAATTTATACTATAAAAGATATTTTACCAGTATTTTGTAAAATGATAAAATTTCCCCCATCCCTACTGGACAGAGAGTGCATGTCGGCTAAAATCAAATATGCGGTCCAACAAGGGAACGTCAGTCTCCAGCAACAGAGAGCAAAGTGTTTCCATGAGAAAGAGTCTTTATAAGCCCCTTTTTTCAACAAACTGGCTCTCGTTCTGCAGGATACAGGAAATAGGAGTCATTTCACAGCACTGACACACACACACACACTCATGTCCAGCATAATGAGGGTTTACTCTAGAGACCTATGGGCATCTGAAGCATCTCAAAATGTGAACAACGTCATTAAGGAATGTGTGCTTAGAGTCCTTACTGTTTTTGTGACATACTGAAATGGCATATGACTCACAGTAATGGTAAAAAATTATGTTTGTCTAGTAAGAATGGGCCTATAAATGATATTGAATCGTGCTAAATAATTTATGTTAATAACATTGATAAGCTCTTAGACTCTATATTGATTTAAGAGCCAATCACACAGCAGATATGTGCAGCAACAGGAATCTAAAAGTGTGTTGATATTAGAGATGTACCGACTTTTTTAAATTTGTCGGCCGAAAATGTTATGCCGTTTTAAGGACTCTCTAATTTCTGTGGCATCAGTCATTGTTGGGGTACTCTTTTAAATCTAGAAACATATCAACTTATATCAAAATATATATATCTTTATCATTCAATATGGTAAATAGTTATCGAAATGGCATTTTTGCCATATTGCCCAGCCCTAATGTGTTGCTCTATGAGGAGTAAATGCTTTTATTCTCAATCTGTGTTATACTCAAAGGAGCTATAATAACATAAATATTTAATTGGAGATTTAACAGGGCTGGATGATTAATCGAAAAGTAATCGACATTTAGAACCTATAATTGATAAAAAATTTTCCAAGACGATTTTTTCAATTACTTTTCCTACATGTCACATGACCCCGCTCTGTTAAAGGCTGTGGCTGATTTCTACTTCTGCTGCCACTTTGCAGCCACATCTGATCTCTGGTCAAGTAGAACGACAGACTCATTCTTGAGCCTTACTTTGAACTTAAATAAATAATGTTAAATAAAAAAAATCATTGATAAATCATAATAGAGTTAAAATGATCAGACACGAGATTTAGATTTTAGGCCAAATTGCAGAATCATTTCTTTAAAAATAAATAAATAAATATATAGAAAATTCAAGTTTGGAGTAAGTTTGAGATGAAATTGAGGGTTCATACAGGTAAATGTAACCTACAAATAAAAAACATTACAATAAAACAAAAATAAATAG